AACAACACTGTAGCTACATAGACTATTGCGATTTAGTACCGATGAGGAAACGGCGCGGCATTGTGCACGTAACGCCGACAATTTGAAAGCAAGCGTGTCCAAAGTTAAAAATAAAAACTGTCACCAAACCGGTATCGGAATTCGAAAATGTCAGTCTTGAAAAAAAGTTTGATGCAAGTGAAAAAGTCCTCAGTTTGGGTTTGGTGGCCATGCTTGAATGCTATGTCTCCTCTGAACTTGGCCAAACTGCAAGAAACAAGTACATTGCGAAAGTTGTTCAGTGCATTTGCGAGGAATATTTTTCAGATAAATAAGACAGGAGTAATAGCCTTGTTCCTCGGAGAAATCCAGGAGAATGTAGATTGAAATGGGTTGATACTTCTGCAACATGCCTTTATTGAGACAGTAGCAGAAGTAAAGTCGCCTGGTTTTTCTCCGAGGAATAAGGCTACCACTACTGTCCTTAACAAGCGCATTCACTCATGCTAACGTAAAAGGGCGAAAGACTACCCCGATCCGACACAATGTCACGGCTTCTAAAACGGATGTTGATCTGTCAAAATGATAGTCCTACGTAAGTATTGAGACGCGGCATCGACAACACTGATATAATAATTATGTGTCTCTCGTCATCGGCTAGTGTAAGCATGTACACGTCGTTTCCGGCATCTAACTACCCGACTGTAGTCGGGTGTTACGGGAGTCCTCAGATGGAGTGGATGGTGCTTCGCTTTCAGCCATATCCAATTGCGGCCAGTATTTTCCTCTTGGAATTGCTGGCATTCGTGCCAGGGCCTTCTGATCACGTCGATCTTGATAAGCTGGGTTGGTAGAGAAGTGGGCTTGTCATCACGAGTCTAGTTCGAACCCCAGCAATTTCAAGGAGATAATCCGGGTTGTGATGCGTACATGGCTGAGAGCCAAACGTCATCCAGTCCTTGTCAGGGCTCAGTAATACCTAACGACGATCGGACAGTTAATTAGTTAAAACGTTGCGTACATACTAACCCACCAGCAGATGACGTCAGTCCGAACAACTGCTCCATCACTTTTTAAGTAGTTCGTCGTGCACGGTTTCTGGGCCTTAAAACTGCATGATCCGATGTGAGGTTCAACAGAGCTGTACTACACAAATCAAACGGTTACAAAGCTGTCTTAGAAGTGTTGACGTTCGGTTAACTGCCGAGTGTTAGACCACCTGTAAAGTGTGGAGTGCAAATATACTAAAAAGGTTTAAATGAAAGAGTGTGAAATCTGAAGCATGAAATTCGTTGAACTGCGAGACGGATTGGAATGACCACTTCCAAGCAAATTAGCAGGGTATAATTTACAGTGTGCAAACATTAAGCTTTGTACAAAAAATGTGTCTGTTTCACCTAATTCTGCATTATTGAAAGAGCTGCAGCAGTGTGCGTGCTACAGTAATTTTGGAGCACGTCAGTGCAGGGCGATGCTGGGCAGGGCCGGAAGAGGACGTTTCGATCCCAGACGCATCCCGCCCGGGATCGGGTGGGATGGAAGACTCGGATGGGACAAAACTATTGTCTTGTGCCGGAGCGATGGGACGGTTAGGACGGACGGAGTCAAGACCGAAGCAGAACGGTGTATGATGCTGCCCCATCGCCTCCCGTCCCGCCCCATCCGGACGACAGGATCGGACTCAGCGAAGCGGACCAACTCAAAGAGACTAACTTTGAGGAGTGCGGTCCTCTCCGCCATCACCGCGCGCGTGTACGGCTGAGGCACTTGCGGCACTGCAGCACACGCTGTTACAGAGTTTACACTGCTGTGCGTTTCGACCATTGTCTTATGTTCTCAGCGATGTGAGCGTCACTTTCTGCTGCATGTAAGCGTTCTCAGCATGTATGATATGATACGTCGTGCAGACCCCGCGCCCCACGCCTCCCTCCGCTCGTCTCGAAACGAGATGGTGTCACGAGCACAGCAGTCTGCCGTTGAGACGGCACCTGTGTTGTCGAGACGGCTTGTGCTATTCACCAGACGTGCCGACCGTCGTTGTTGCAGCTCCCATGGGTTCATTGTCTTTGGCCTGCCGCAAGCTGGCGGTGAGTACAGTTTCCGAAGGATGCTTGTGAAAGTTGTGTGTTAGTTTTCGCGACATCTGAAAGGTCTACCAAACTGGAACATTTACTTGTCGACATGACAAGTTTTAGCTTTGTTGTGAGAAATTGGTCCCCGGTACTTTGTCCCTGCATTCTTGCGTATTCAAGTGACTAATGGGTGTCTATTGATGAAGCTTGAGCGACTGCCGTCTTCTCGCCATAATTTACAGGAAAAGGGCATGCCATTCCGACAACCGAATGTCTTTTGCGAACTATGACCTTAGCAAAACACTGCTATGACGAATATTGTATGGGCCTGCTGGGTTAGAAAAAAAACACCACTAACTCGTAGTTGCTAAGTCGTAGTATCTCACACCTTCGCGAGCACACGTCAAACAGCTTCCCGATAATATTAAACGCCGTAATACTACATTGAGTGGCTAAATTTGAACCTGACCACTCAGTATACCATGAACCCAGAGACGTTTCTGCGTATTCATCATCACTCAACCGCAGGGCTGTGCGTCATGCTCCTGCATCAATTAATCCCCGCCAACTAAAAATGGGACCTTCTGAGTGCAGTCACAAAGCCCTCTGACCTCGCGGCCAGGCCCGAGTTCGATGCCCGCTGCGCATTCAAGCCACTCGTCAGCGGACACTTGCAGGGCGAACACAGATGAGCCGTGAATGTCAGCTTCGTCATAGTAGCAGGTCGGCTAACTCTGACCAGGCTCTCTACCAGTCGCCGTCTGGTAACGAGAAGCAAAGGTCGGCCGTCATCACATGTACCGCGATCGGTCCCGCCGGAGCAGGGATCTACATAATGATCGTAGCGGTCTGTAAGCAGCTATCCTCAGACATCAGTCCAGTATCGGAATTGTTAGCTCATCGACCGGCAATCGCTGCGTGGAGTAGCTAATTTGGTACCGCTGTAGTATGTCGGGAACAGCCTATCGGTATGGTGCACAAGCACAAAATAATTTGGCAGCGTGAAGACAAATAGAGAATACCACTGCGATGCGACCACCACGGTTAACTAATGATCTTCGTGAACAGCTGACAAATGACCGGAGCAGTCAGTGAAATGGTGCCTGATAACACTTTTGGCTGCCTATTGTGCAAGCAAAGCATTTAAGGTCCCTGCAGACGAATGCCGGACCAGCAGAAAAATCGTTCCAACCGAAACATGGGGCGGCACATGTAGGAAGTTGCGGCATGCCTCGTGATTTATCTTCTCTTTTTGCCGGGAGCTTTCTCAGAGTTCAATAATTCTGCAAAGTTTTGGCCTTGGTATGGGTCTGATGGGAGGCCATCATGCGCTGGTGGTACTTTCTTTGTGTCGGTATTTTAGTCTTTAGCGTTTCGACCGAAGACGAAGGTCAATGGTGCCAACATTTCAGTTAATGATGTTGTTTGGTGCCTATCAAAAATGTGTCTTTGAAATTGGAATGCCACGCCGTTTCAAGGAAAGATAAAATAAGAATACAGCTTGTATGGACGCATTCTTATTTTATGTTTCCGGTATCAAATCGTCCGAAGCCCTTCTATGACGCCCTTTTTAAAATTTCGAATAATTGGGGGATAAACGCTCCGGGCGCTCAGCATATGTGCGAGACCAACTAGCGATATTCCATTTCGTAAGAGAAGGTTAATTATCGCTGGCACAGAGCAGTTGGTGAACAATTGGTGCATTCCGTGAGGAAAAAGGTCACTGTTGGCGTAATGGCTGTCAGTTCCTAACAATGTTTAAACCTAACACCTTCTGAATCTAACCAGCCAGCTCATACACCAGCCATGTATTACGTGCGTTTCTGTGTCGATAACAATAACTGCAACAAAAATAATGACGCGGACAGCAGCGACATGAGTAACCAAATGAAAACTTCTGCTACGCTCGTTGCAATCGGACCGACTACAGAACCTGTAAACTCGTACGATGCCAAACTTTGTAAGCGCTTGACATGATCGGCGCGCTGCGATCTGCGCCCATCTTGGCCGGTTCATTTCGGCCGGAGCGGCGGGTAAGGTCAGGGGTCGTCGGCCTGGCGGCGGCGGCCGGCCGGCCGGGCCAAGTTGGCCGCCGGCTGCGGCGACTCCATCCGCCAGTCCGTACAAGTGGTAGAGCAAGCCGTGCCGGCGAACTTTGTTTATGGGATTGCTTGGTTTACGGGCGCACTGATGAGCGGGCCAGCGCGGACCGGCCGTCTTATTTCCCACCGGGCCGTCGTCCCGATCGTCTCGGAGGTGATGCAGCGGCTGAGGCGCGCCGGGAGACAACACGGCTCCGCCCGCTGACTCGCCGGGGCCGACCGCCGCCGCCCGCCCCACACCAGCGCCGCCTCTCCGCCGCCGGACGATTTGACGCCGCTCGCGGGCTGCGGTGGAAAAGTGCAGCGCTCGGGAAAAAACGGCCGGCTGATGGTTATTGGGTTACCGTCTGCTAGTTCCTTGAAAATTAAGCGCACTCCGTGCCTTCCGATCAAATGGGGTCTGCTTTTAAGATGTGGTAATGAGCGTGAGGTAGTTCACTATTTTGCCGACTCCGGCATTCACGGTGGCGACGTCGGAAATTGTATTTCTCTGCCCGACTGGCTATGCCCCTAAATCCGGCACGGCTTCGCTAAATTTCCTATGAATTGAGCCGATTCCATGCTCAGTAACATGCCTTGTTTTTTCTGAACTGCGTCGAACTCAGGTTTGTATTGACTTGTCCCACATCCCCAGTGCTTAACCGTATATGATCTCACAGGTCCATTGGTTTGCTTTGAACTGGCTCGATACAGCAAGCCTTTCTAAGGTACTTCCGGCTGCTAAGGGTAGGATGGCTAGGAGAGGATATATCAGCACTTAAGATGCATGGTTCTTCACACCGCCGTTTCTACGCGCATCTTCATGCATCTTCGCCGACAGTCAAACCGTTCGCTCGGCCTTCCGCAGCCCCGCACGCCAAGGTGGCCGGCCCCACCGACCTCTACGTCCAGCTGGACAGCAACATCAACCTGAGCTGCGAGCTGCGCGTGCTGGCCGATCCGCCGATTACGCTCACCTGGCTGCGGGACGCGGCGCCGATCGACCTCGGCTCGCCGCGCGCCGGCATCAGCATCCAGACCGAGCGCACCAACCAGGGCAGCAGCAGCTTCCTGGTGATCTCGCGCGCCCGCCAGCGCGACTCGGGCAACTACACGTGCCGCCCGAGCGAGGGCCGCTCGGCCGCCGTCCGGGTTCACGTCATCGATGGTACGTCCGGCGGTGCCCACTGGGGTGGGGCGACGCCCTGGCGGTGGCGCTCTTCCCAGGGGCCTGTGTGGCACGCTCCCCTCGCCGTCTGCGCTGGAGGGTACGCGATTACATGCGCGGTTCTGGGGGTACGCCAGGGAGGGATGCGAGGGTGTCATGTATGATGTCGCAGAGGGAGGAAGAGGATGGGAAGGTCGGAGGCTCCGGAGAACTGTTTTGGTGGGTGATGGTGGTGGGCAGAGCTGCGAGTGTGTCGCAACCAGCGGGCGTTCCCGTGCTCGGTCCGTGTGTCATCCGAAATTGGGAGCACGGTCATGTTTTCGGGTAAGGTACGTATCTGGCTTACCTGCGACGGCCATGCGAAAATCGATTTCCAACTTGGAAGAGAGGCGAAGTAAGTGCAGCAAGTCGTGGTTGTCTATAGAACAGCGCCAAGCAACGGCCAACGCGTCCTGACGGTCGTGTACGTTGGACAAATGGACAAAAATATCGATAGGAGGCGGAGGGCATGATTGATGATGTGTATCTGATGGCATAACGGCCAATAACTGCGCAGTGTGCTCATATCCAAACATGCCATTGCTGCGCTGTACGCATCCGTGGTCTCAATCAAGTCATTCTACTTTAAGCCCACACTTGGGTTTTGGCCCGCGTCCTTCATAGTGAGCTTTCACGTATTTACTTCACTTACTGCGTTGATACAGGTCATAACCCTAGTGGGCGGCGCTGGCGTGTAAAGAACGGCGCTCTGACGTGGACTGCGACGAGCGATTGGGCTCCAGATTAGCTAATCTGGCGAAATGGTGAATCCGTACACTGCCGTCTCGGTGCTTTAAACGAGTTTTGGGGTCCGGGGCTTCTATCCGGCGTGAGCAATCAAGGGGGGATGTGAGGCTTCCCAAAAGCATACAATCATCGGACACAATACCTAATTTTCTTTCAGCCGTGCCTCAGCGGAGCGGTATCGCGCGTGTATAAACTCCCGAATTGGCAGGACCATATGCAAGAACAACAACACGCAGTATTGCAAATTGGCAAATGCGTGCAGAACTAAGACGCGTTTAAGCACTGTACGCTGACCGCTGAGAGAAAAACTGGAGCTGTTCCTCGCGGCACGCGCGATGAGCTCAAAATTGCCGCGGGTTTGGAGAAATATTTAATCAACTAAATGCTGCGTAATGCACGGCAAGCCGATGGAGACATGACTCGCATGGGTTACGGAAAGTGACAAGATCGATGCTTTTTCTAGCCAAGTTACTTAACAGTCTTTCCTTGCTAGAGGCGAGCTGGAGACAGACGATAGTTTCAGACACGTGGTGCCTAGTGAATAGCTGCAGAATGTGACTAAGCAATCGGTCCCTGGATCCAGAAGCGCACGGCGATTCGTCAATTGACGCGTCAGTTCTCTCCGCAGTCCACAGTCTGGGGAGAGAAGGGTGACGGCGCAGGGCCAAGGCAAAGAGCGGGAGGGCGCAGGGTTAAGGTCAGGAGCGAGACGACGCAGGGCTAAGGCAAGGAGCAGAGCGTCGCACGGTTAAGGTCAGCAGCGGGACGGCGCAGAGCTAAGGCGAGGAACGGGACGGCGCAGGGGTTAAGGTCAGCAGCGGGACGGCGCAGGGGTTAAGGTGAGGAGCGGGACTGCGTAGGGTTAGAGCAAAGAGCGGAACGGCGCAGGGTTAATGTCAGCAGCGGGACGGCGCAGGGCTAGGGCAAAGAGCGGGACGGCGCAGGGTTAAGGTCAGCAGCTGGACGGCGCAGAGCTAAGGCGAGGAACGGGACGGCGCAGGGTTAAGGTCAGGAGCGGAACGGCGCAGGGTTAAGGTCAAGAACGGGACGGCGCAGGGTTAAGGTCACTGACGGGACTGCTCAAAGCTAAGGCGAGCAGTTGGGTGAGCACCTTTTCCGGACAAAATGTTGGCAAGCAGACACATTCTGCCTCTACGCTTGGGTTGCTAGAAATGGTATCTCTGTTTTTACACGCAAGCTTCCTGCAAGATTACGTACTGAATTCGACCTTGACCTGCCTGGGACCTGCCTTTTCCGAGAATTGCTGGCACTGCATCCGGCCCGATTCGAGGGACAAAATTAGTGTGGCCATGATGAATATCCGGCAACAGGAAAGGTCGCGAACAGAAGGGATTAAATGCAGGCATGCTTGTTGCCGGGCATACAGGCAATACGTTGTTGATAGAACGAAAATTTGAAATGTGTTATGCGTTCACTATGTGCAGTTGGAGCTGGTAAGCATACTTTGATACATCCGACATAAAAGGAGCTCCGACCATCACGCTTGGAAAAGGCCTGCAAACACAGAGGCGCAACCCGTCAACCCAAGGGTGGACTGACTAAGCACAGGTCTGTGCCAAACAGACAAGTGCTAGCTCTGAGAGCGAAAGTCCACATTATCTGCCACAGTTCCATACCAGCATGTAGCAGTGGGCAGCAGCCAGCGGTCAGCTGTCGTGTAGCAGTCAGCTGAGTGACACGGGGCCTCGCTGGGTGACCCCGGTCGGCGCACCGTCCCGCGCGGAATGACCCCGGATCCCATGGAAATTAGTTCAATCTAAGTGCGCAGCCTGGGAAACACGTTCCGCCGACATGTCGTCGAGCGCGCCCCGGGCGATCGGACGCCACCGGCGCGTGCGATACGCCAACGGGTCGATGGGACGGGTCAGTCCGGCGTGTCCGGCCGGCGCGGCGGCGCGAAGTTCGGGTGTGGTGCTCCCGCGGGGCGGGCTACAGTCGCTCCGAGCCAGAGGCAGAAACACACCTGGCAGCTGTTGGACATCCGACTAGCTATATTGGCGATCCATGTTAGACTGCCAGTAGGCAGACACCCACGGGGCATGACCTGTGATGACCAATATGAGTTGGGAATGGGAAATGTCAGGGACGACGCGGGAGGCCTTCAAAGGTCAGGACTGGAATTCTCTGAGGATCAGCGCTGGCACAATGCGATAGCATAACGGCCCATAGTCTTAAGCTCGGGCTGGAATGCCTAATATCTAGGCTTTGTCTTGTTGCTCACAGACGCGCTCGACAAACATGCCGCTAGCAAACTTTCCATGTTGAGATAGTCTGTTGCACTCGACGCGAGAACAGAAGGTGTTGTTTAACACACTCGAGCACAGCCGTGGCGATTCCCCCAAAGCGAATGGTCACATAGCCCATAGAGCCTGACTTTCAAGCACCTCATGTATATGCATCAGCACGGCTCCTTATCATATAAGAAGAAAGACGTTCGTCTCACATAAGTTCAAGGACAATAGAATACGCCGACCACAGATGGGCCGCTCCCGTGACAGCCTGCCTCGGGACATGTTTTAAAGGGCATGATAACGTTGTGGGTATACACCGTACTGATGCCGCCAGGGATGTAGCCGGTTCTAACTGGGTCATTTATGTTGTAGGTCCCTACAGCTCGAGTGAAGCCAAGATCTTGAACACGGAACAAGGAAATGTCGATTTAAAAATGAAATTCTAGGAACGTATGCTCAGTGCTTCCGTGGAGTCGGCAATTTTGTTTTTCAAATCTTTGACAGGTGTTCCGTATTCAGGCCTAGGCTCAGGATATCACTGAACGAGTGGTGTGACACATTTCTCGGGTTTATTGCAACACTGTTGACGCCTTCAAGCGATATTAATGTCGCGATAGGTCATACCGGCACGACATGACACCCGCACATGACGACGCATTACACCCGTGCATGCCATGCGTGGTCGTTAATTATGCTAAAACGTAACAATGCTACGGCGTAATAATGCTACGGCTTGCAAAGCTGTCCTAAGACGTGCTGCGCCACAATTTATATCAGCATTGCGGGGCTGTGCATCCAGCACTGCGCGATAGTATAGCAGTAAAGCATGGACATAACAATGAATAAAAACAAAACATTGAACTGCGTCAGGGGGCGGTCGTCAGGATGAAAGTCACCGCGCCTTAAACGCTACGGCGATCCATTTCGGTTTTGGTGCCATTTTATACGGCCAAATGCGAAAACATTCCAACATGTCCAAAGGCTACTGCGTCCGGACCCTACCGATTCCAGAGGTAATTACACCTGTGGTTGTCGGAATTAATCATGCAAATTATTTGAAAGGGATTAAAGGGATTGTAAAGAAAGTAAGGATGAAGAGGATTGTAATAAACTTTACCAGTTGAGCATAAGTTATACGATTTCAATTGGACGTTAGTTGGAATTTGGATGCTACGGTGATTTTAATTATATGCTCGTCAAAAGCTCAAGATTTATGCGCATCCATAAACTTCTATTTATAACTAACCATTTTGGAACTCGCAGCAATCACGGCAGCGTGCGGTTGCGCCATGATTGCCGATACACGCCCGTTAGCTGCGGTGCTGCTGCTTGTGACGTGACAGGCGCACCCTTCAGCGGTGATGACGTCATTGCAGTTCACCGAATGGGGCTCGCGCCTGTCTAACGGTTACAGGGACGTTTCAGTGACATGTGTCACGCTTGTTCCGCGAAAAACTCACGCTGGTGAACTGCTACGTGAAACGCAATTGTGGGCGTGTCACGATTATGGATGATGCCAACATTTGATCCAGTTTTGCAACGCCAGTCAACTCTTCCGTGATGAACTGATGAGCAATGGCGTTATCATGTTTCTCAGGTCGGAGAACAAATCAGGGCTGGAGGGAACAAATTGGAGTTTCGGTGAACGACGTGACTTGAAAGCGGCGTTTTGAATGTAAAAATGCTTTAAAATATTTTACAGGGAAACTGCAGGGGGTAAAGTACAATTTCGGGAAAACTGAGGAGGGCATGCCCTCCCAGTTGTTACACCCATGGCTTTGAGTCAGCCCATGTTATGAACCAGCCAACCTTGATGCTGCGAAGCGTCCGTGGAGGTTCTGCGAGGCACTTGTAATGCCTTCTGTGCACCAATTGTCTGCGAGTTACCAAGGCCACTTTTGTGCGTGACATTGCAATGCATCTGAAATAGCCATGCCATAGCCATTCATTGCCGTAACATGCAGATGAATTAAGGAACCGCAGTAATTGCTTGTGTGAAGCTGTAGTTATTGATCGTTGTGTTGCTTTTCCTTCAAACAACCTTTGAACATTTATGTGACCAGTATTCAATCTTTTAAACTCAGCTGAGCTCGTTGCGCGCACTCTCAACACCTTTATTCAAACACGTTCCTAGATTTAAACGGGCGATTTTCACCCTGCACGCTCAGCCGCAGAGAATCATTTGACTCATGATCCACGCGAGGTACGGCTGCCGGCCGCGGCGGTGTGATCGTGGCCAGTGCCGCGTGAACATCCAGTTCCATTTGGAAGCCAGCCCTCAGCTCCGAGACACCTGGTCATGTACCACGCCCCCGCAGATGCTCATTCAGCAAAGACTGATTCAGTGTTGAGGTCGAAAAAGGGACGCTGTCGGTTCGATCTGCCATAGTATTGATCCTGATCAAGGTCGGGGGAGCCGAGGGACGCTGTCTGGCCATGCGCTGCGGCAAAAATATCCATGACGTTCTCGGCCAACAACGGTAGTGCCCTGGGATGTGGCGAACTCGAATGCCGCTCGCTGACCGTCTCAGGCGCTGCCGAACCCGGTCCTGTGGAAGGGAAGGTTCCGTCTCCGTGTCACGCTCTGCTTCTATGCCATACCACTCGGAAATTATGTGATGAATCATACCTTTCGATGTCTGTACTCCGCAGCTAGGTACTGCTATCCATGTGAGGCCTCGAGCGACGGCGACTGATGTCCTGTCCAGTCAGGCCGGGCTGACAGGCCGCCGGTGGCCGAGCACCCCAGCGGGTTGCCGGCAGCGGGCCAGCAGGGGTGCAGTGCGTGTGAAATGACGGGGCCGCCGTCCAATGACGCTGTTGTTTCGTCACCGTCAGATGAGCACCCGGCCGCGATGCAGACCGCTGCCGGGGACCGACTGCGGCCAGACGCGCTGCTGCTGACGCTGCTCATCCTCCGACTGGTCACCCGGTGACCTGGCACCTGACCTCTGACCCCGGGTCACGCCGCTGCTGCTGACGCTGCTCATCCTCCGGCTCTCCGGCTGGTCGCCCGCTGACCTGGCACTTGACCCCTGACCCCGGGTCACGCCGTCAGCGCCGGCTCCATGCAGCCCCTGAGGTGGACAGCCTAGGTGTTTGTGGAGCGTTCGCGGCGCCGGAAGCCGCTGTCTGAGAGCTCCGCTTGCGAGCTGTCGCCCAGCGCCCAGCGCCCAGCGCTGTGAACGGAGCGCCGATGGCCGCCCAGTGAACACAGCCCCACCGGAACGGTCGCTGTCTTCGACCAACCGCAGTCCGGGTCAGGACTGGCCGTGGCCACCGGACGCGCGCCGGCTGTTGGTGGCCAACACACTCGCTAGTCGCGCAGAGTGGGCCCGGTCGCCGGCGTCAACACGGCGTGTGTGTTGATGCTTGCCGGCGTCGATCCGTCACATTCTGGGCCATCGTGGAGCTGGCAGATGCCGTTTAGTGATGGATGCGCACGTTGGAGAACTATTATTCAGCAGATGCATCGTTCATCATGATGACGGTGGATGAAATACGGACGGTTTGGGGAAGTGTGGATGTAATGGCCGACGTCGAAGCATGCCACCTTGTTACAGCGCAGTGACACAATGTAAATTTTGTCATTGGTTTGTTGCAATGCCTAAATGCGTTTATATTGTGGCCACCTGTGTGTGATGTAGTATAGAAATCCGCTACACATTGCCACAGGTTTTCGTGAAAGCATTTTGCAAATATATATCATAGCTAGTTGACTTTTGCAGTAGGCCATTCCGTTCCATTGTGTCAGTGGCGAAGTCCCAACGGCCCCAGGAAGCCCAACGACTCATTTTCTGGGCTTCATTCCGCGAACCCCATTGCTATTGTTGACTTCCCCAGCGCGCGTCTGGGCGTAGATGAAGCGGTGCGTCGGATGCCGCGTGTTTTGCACCAGCCTGCGGGGCAGTGCGGCTCGAGGGCCTGGTGTTCGTCATCGGGGGCCCATGTATCCATAAGTAATTCATGTGTCTGTTCCCACGGGTGAGGCCAGTGCTAGGGCCAATGGTGTTTCGTAAATGGTGTTGGCCTCCTTGGTGGCAGCGTAAGGCGGCCTCCATCCGATAAAATCGAAAATGATGAGAGTTAAATTTGGGTTTGTTGTCACCATGTGCCCGTCCGCCATGTTGTCCGTGCTCCCCCGCGTCGGCACACGTCACGCGCGTGCAAAGCGTCGACATGTTTCTCTGCAAAGAAAGCGCAACTAGGGATGGAAAGTTACGGAATGCATCGGTAGGCTGGGAATAAATGTTTTACGAACGTCACGCACGGTTGTCGCAACAGCGGTGTTTTGAAACAATGAGCAATCTTGAGCAGATTCACCTGGGATGCTGTTACCCTCCGTGGCACGCTGTGCGACATTGTGATGCTTTATTGGTTGCTTCGGGGCGCGAGATGCAGCCCCTGTTCCGGGCTCACCCCGGAGGCATGCCCGTTGAACGTGAATCGTCTAGTCAGGATCCGACCGCTTGCACTGCAAGGCCGAGAGTCCCATATACGTTGTCCATGATGCGAGCGGCGAGGCTGTTCTTGATTGTATGCTGTTGGGTATGCATGGATGGAGGATGCCGTGTGACAGATGTGGCAACGCCCACACCGACATCCTCCAAAGTAAGCATTATTTCAACGCACTTTCGTTGAACGATTGCCCCCTCAGTGGCCTAAACACTCAACGTTTCTAGACATCCTCCATACGCGCCGATGTGCGTGCGAGTGCGCGCGCATGTCCGTGCACGTGTACGTTTGTATGTGTGGGCGTGCGTGCGTGCATGTGTGCGCGTAGCATATTCTTAAACGATGTGTTTTTAACAACGTTGCTACACCCGCACGTGCGTGTGCCGCGGGCCGAGTGTGTGACGTCTGTTGCGACGGAGTGCTGTAGACCACATCACGCGCCACGAGGTCCGATAGCATGGCAGTAGAACGTCCCCAGCTGGCGCACCGAATGCCTGGAAAAGGCAGGCCGTGGGGCCGTCGTGTTCGGATCCACGCCCCTCGCTGTCGGATGCCAGCGTGCATGGACGATGCCTACACACGTGACGGCCTTCGAGGTTAGATCCATGCGTGGAGCGGATGGCGGCGCCATGCGTGACATGTGGCGCGTACGCGAGTGGGTGGACGGTGACGAATTCAAAATAAACGCTTCGTGGGAAACGTGGTGGTAAAAAGTCGGCAACTGGTAACGATCCTGCCTCATCTCGGGCTGCAGTTGTCAGAAGACGCTCGCTGGATACGTATTTTTTTTTTACTCAACGGGCAGAGACAGGCGCGGAGCGCGAGGTATCGTCTAGCGCCCACTACACGGGCCGAGCGCTGCCCGTAAGCTCCGTGTCGTAGCCGTTCACCGTACAACCTGCAGCTCCACCGGCGGCCAGGGCCGCCCTGGGTGTCACGTGTGGCTTCTCTTCTCTCTCTCTCTCTCTCTCTTCTCTCTCTCTCTCTTCCTCTCTTCTCTCTCTCTCTCTCCGACTTCGACGGATCGCTGGGCGGGGAGCGGGAGGGGGGGGGGGGGGGGCGCCAGGTGCCGACACCAGACGGCTCTGGACCGCGACACCTCCACAGCGCGGCTGGTGTCCGGCGTCTGGTGCTGTCCGTGACCGTCCTGCCGCCAGCAGGCGCCGTAAGGTCACGCTATACAGCGCGCCTGCGACACGAGAGGGAGATGAAAACCCGACGTCTCCTCGTTCACCGCGTGATATAGTGGCCTGTTTCTCCCGGCCGGTAGAGCATATGGCGGCCGTCCAGAATGCATGATCATGAACGGCGCCGTGTGCTACATGTCTGAGCACTGGAAGGCGAATGGGTCGAGCTCAGTAACACAGCGACAGTCAAACCCTACGGTCCAATGGCGAGCAACGTCGTCGATGCTTAACCGAATCAGTGGGCGTGCGGGTGCAGAGTAACAAGGACGGTGCGTGCTTATGCGGGACGCACCTGCTGGCAGCGCGGGATAGGCGCTGTTTGGATTGCGCAGGGTTGGTAAAGCCACGGCCGTTTTGGGTTGTCCAGGAGGAAAATGAGCTGGGCTTGTCAGTCAGATGATCGTGATTTGCTAGCGGCTACGGTACATGATATGGTTCCGCGGCGTGATCAAAATTGCCATCGGGGTTATCATGTAAGGCCCCTACCTTATCTTAAGGCTTCCTGGCGCGCTAAATTCGTCCTATTTTGCCGATATTAAAGGCTGTTCTGTCGGATTAGGGAAGGCAGTTGGATGGTTGCCCTCCCCCTATTCGAGCAAACTTCACGAAGCCCATGGTATTTAGACTTGCATGCATACGAGGGTGACACATTCTACTCGTGCTCCCTCATTGTATGGGATCCGCTACCACAGCCCCAGAGTCGGTTATTTCATGCTACTATGGTGCTTGATCTCGGCCGCTTCCACTGACCAGCTAACTTTTCAGCTGTCAGCATTAATCTGTTAGGAATCCTCCGGCAATTGAACTTGTTACCACCGGGCTTGCAAGGCCAGCTCACCCACCCGTCCGTCACCACCCCGTCAAGAATCTCTCGGCACATTTGCTGGACTCTTACCGCATCTCCACGGTGAGGTCGCCTCCTGCTCGCGAAGTGGTATCCATGTTCACCGCGCCGCGTCAGGGCCAGCTTGGCCAGTAGGTCCTCTGTCTGCAGATCCACCCCGGTCAGCTCTCCATACGCGACTCCGTCCTACCCACGGCGTTCAAAGTTTGTGCGGCGTGCCGCCGTTACTGGCCAAGTTTGCGTCTGTTCAAACCGGCCGTGCGGTTGTTTATGGCTCGCAAACAAGCATTAATTGAAACATTTTCACTGGTGTATGAAGTCCAAGATGAAGCACCGCACAAAGTTACGGAGAAAAGTTAACATAAAAGCAAGCAAGATTCCCAGATGGGCCCTGGGGCACATTGCAACATAACTTGCAGCACGCATGCTGCTCGACTGGCACGTAACAGAGTCTGCCTATTGACTTGACTGCGTGACCTGAAAGCTTCAGTAACCCAATCACACGTGGGCTGGCTCAATGGTGCGGGTAGCGATGTTTTGGCAAAAGAGCGGTAGGCGCGCTTTTTCCAGGTCCCCGTCCCATGGACATATAGCACCCCAAGGATTGCAGGGGTGCACTGGCCGTTGTGTTTGGCTCATGAGCGGTTATGCACGCGCACATGGGGAATGTTATGGGGTTTTAAAAAGCATTTCCCAAAGTAGAAATAAATGTTTTGAGAGCCGCAGCAGAACTAGCTGACCATGCCTGGCCTTTGCAGAGTTCGGTGGGCATCACGAACGATCTCAATTTAAGCACCACATAAGAGCACGCTACACACGAGAGCCCACTACCCACGGGAGCACGTTAAACACTAGATCGCACTGCACACGAGAGCACACTGGAAACGAAATCACACCGTGCAAGAAAGCACGCTAGACCGAGAGCACACTGCACACGAGAGCACGCTACACACGGGATCACTCTTTACACAAGAACACGCTACACACGGGAGCACATCGCATACGGGAGCGCTAAACACGCGTACGCTTACGGGTTACGCATGGTTACGCGTACGCATACGCGCAGCGCATGGTTCCTCGGCAGCGCTCGTGGTTAGACGTGAGAACCATGACGCTACCCAGCCGTGTGGGTGGGGGTGGGGGGTCTGCACATGTGCTGAATTGGCTGCTGCATGATTGGGTTTCAGTGAAGCCATATGTTTTGCGCAAGGATTTCATTGCTATTATTGCTATTTTTTGTTGTCAATTATAACCAAAAGAACGCCTCTTGCGGCGCGGGACGACCCAGACAATGACGGAGGTGGGTGTTATCATCATAAAGATGATACCAGCAGTAAGTCTGCGCAACGAGGAACAGCGAGGGGATAACATACCTGGGGAGGGAGGTCGTCAGTTGTCACCCTGTAGAGGACGCAAAAAAACTTGTCTGTTAAAGCCACACACATTTGGCAACCGATACCGATGGACTTAACCTATATGTCGTTAAGTAAACCTTTCATGAGGATTTAGCAGGTAGTGGCACACTGGTGTAGTTTGTGCGCTAACTGCAAAC